AGCTTTTTTTTGGGAGGGATTTGTGAACTTTGCTTCTGTTGTTTAAATGTGCTGTACACTATAAATAAAATGGACCTGACAGTCAACACAAAAAGCTTCAGACATTTTTTATTGCATGTCTGAAGTATATTTTTTTCATTTCCACACAAAAACAACAAAAAAAACCATAATTAACAGAACTCATACTGAACTATGGGGACAGAAAAAAGTATCAATCCTGTTGCACAAGTACTGATCTGATACCAGACTTGATATCAATACTATTGATATCTGGATCTATCCGCCCACCTCTAATGCCTGCACTAACCTCAAGACAACCTGAACACCAACAGGTTACGCAGCCTTCAGATGCTGGCTTATAAAATATAAAACATGGATTATAGGAGTGCGGCACACTCAGTTCTTTCCTAGTCCTCGGACTCAACCAGAAGTAACAAAAGACAAGTTATTTATCCGACTCTGTGCTATTTAGGAACTGAGCGTCTGCGTTTCAGTGCTTCTGGTGCATCTTTGGACAGAGGTGGCAAAACTACACACGGGTATCAATTAGGTACAAATACAGATACTCTAGAAAGGGTGTCTGTACATTGATTCAGTACTCTATCAAATAAAGCTGAAATTCCTTTAAACAAATATCGTAGCAAAAGTTGAAGTCAAGATTTGACTTTCTTACTCAAGTAAAAATGAAAAAGTAAAACCTCTGAAATGTACTCAGAGTAAAAAGTAGCCGATTGGAGGAGATTCTTACCAGCTATTTTGTACAAAGCTCACTGAAACTCACTGTTAATGTAAATATAAAATGATACTAAAAGAATAGAATTTTTTTTAAGTTCCATTCTGATTCTAATGAAAACACTCAGCTTCCAACATGGTTATTTAGAATACCAGCAGAGGAAAACAAAGGCAGCTAAAAAACAACAAAACAAAATAAAAACAGCTCTATTTGCTGTTGCATACGTTATAGATGGGTGACTTACACTGGGTTTTTTCAGGTGGGGGTCCCACAGCAGCATTAACAGTCCTGAATGTTCATTTCGACTACAGCAGAAAGTTTCTGGTGCCAAAAATCCATTTTATAACTATTATAAACTTAGCATTAGTAAGAAAAATCCACTGTTTTTGTTGAGAGTGCTATAAAAGATTTGTTTTAAGGTAAACTAGAAACTGCTTACACGTGTATCTGCTTACTGTTTAATATATTATCCTTTGTTTGTTTAATTGACACATACA